GGGCATTATACTATAACGCTTTTGTTGGAAGAGAAATGATTCTATAGGACCCTCTCCCACCCATGTGTGTAGGATCATAGGGAATCCAGTTCTTTGGCCGAAAAGGGTGCTTCACTCTCTTCTTTGGTGCTGTCTTGCAATGTAATTTCTTTGTTGTTATTATGTAATTTTTTTAGGGCAAGCTTTCTATGTTTCCCCTACGACATAAACCTTATATGTTTCCCCTTATTCAACCGTTCATTCTAAATGGAAGGTTAAGATTGCCTCAATCACAATATCGTGTTTCTACACTATTTTATTTTTAATTTTTTTATACAAACTATTTTGATACCAAATGTCTGGCGTCCAATCTTCTATTAAACTCGTACTTATAAAAAAAATATGCCCAATAAAATTTTAAGGGGTACTTTGATCATTATAATCTATCGAAAAATTAATTCTAATATTTTTTTATAGATATAACCTAATGAGAAGATGACACGTGCCAATTTTCATATTCATATAATTTGTATTAAAAAACTAAATAAAATACTCTGAAACATTGGATCTAATATCAAACGATAAGTGACTCACTTGATCAAAATTGAATGGCCGGATGGTAGGGGAAGTATAGAAACTTTTCTTCTTCTTCTTCTTTTCTGATATTGCAATAAAAAATTTAAATATTCTCGAGAGGTTTGAATTTTGGCCAAATAGGGGAATAAATATGTGGGGCTCCAAAGAGAGGGGAAGAGTGCAATGAGTAGTGCTTTAAGACGACATACATTCAAGACATCAAATAAAACAAAGATGACTACAGCAAATAAGGCAAAGTAGAGAGCATAAGGAGACTTCAAGAGCAAGTTGGTTTTGTTCCTTTAAATATTAACATGTTCCCAAATATTACGCCCAAGTGGCCCTTTAGATCTTGTGCAAATGCTAATTTTGTATTGTACATAATTATTAGAAGATTCATTGTATTGGAAGATTCATTCTGATCCAAACACACACTGTTTGAGTAAACCATGTATAGTAGTTTGTCTCGTAACTTCTTATATCCACAGGTCTCGCAAATAATGGGATCCCACAATCTTGGGATGTTGGGCTTGTAGCTTGGGCAATGTTTCTATATGACCCAACAAAATATAAGCTTATATGTAGCTCTACTTTTTAGGAGTTTGATGTGAATCGAATAGTTATGATAGTTCATACCATAATGTCACACCAAATACTGTTTTATTTTTTATTTTTTTCGACAAAATATTTTTGGATGAAATTTTAGCGTCCCATTATAAAATTATGGCAAACCAGCAAAAAAATAAATAAATATATATAGATATATATATATATATATATATATATATATGACCAAAATGCCTTTGAAATTTTTAGAGGTATTTTGGTGATCTTTTATCACCAGAAATATTTTTTGTTATTTGTATCATGTGTGCCCTTATCAGATCTATGCATGCCCCACATTTTGCTTCAAAATTATTTGTCGAATAAAAAATAAAAATAGAAAATGATGAGCTATCTGATGAATATCTGCGAGTCAAAAGCTAGCTCGTGACATTATGACTCAAGCCATTGCAGCTATGCACTCAGATTTGATAGCTGAGACTAGAGGTCACATATACTATATGTTGGTGGGGTTACATATACTATATATTTTGGGGAAGTGTAATTGGATTGGAAAGATGGAGAAATTTTGAAAGAGAGGAGTTGGAAAAGAAAGATTAGATAAGTAGATATGCTGCTTGAAGATATGAAAAAGGAGAAAGAGAGAGACACCTGATCTGGAGTGGCTCTTGGTTTTCGGCGAGCAATGTCGATGATGGAGAGAGTCTTGTAATATTAGTATTTTGGTTGTGAAAAGTACTTGTGTGTATTTTAGAATAACAACTTGGTTTTTGTGTTTTTTTCTTACATTGTTTTTGTACAAAGAAAATTGTGAGTTGTATTAATCTCACATTGAAGAGAAGATAGTTAATTGAGCAGTATTTAAGAGTATATATTCCCATACCTTATACTCTCAAAACAAAGTGAGAGAATAATAGTATATGTGTGGAGCACGTAAAGAGTGCAATGCACACATGCACTTGCGCGTGTGTGTACAACGGCAAGGGCGTTTGATGATGCACTGAATACATTGATGCGAAAGGTGCTGAAGCATGACATATTTTAGTAAACATGGCTCCTGTGGGATATCCAACGGCCATTTAAATGTTGATGAAAATGGAGGCTTGTAACATGACATCTGACAATCATCTAGCCGTTAATGAATAAAGGCTTGTAACAACCCCCTTAAAGGGGTGCATGTAACTTGTAGTTGTTGGTGATTCACGTAACCACCACTATAGTGACTGCGCAGCCTCCCCCTTAAGGGGGTGCATGTAACTTGTAGTTATTGGTGGTTCACGTAGCTACCATTATAGTATATGCGCAACCTCCTTGTCGCTTTATAATAATCGATATTTTTTTTATCATGACTCATGTGGGATATCCAACAATCATCTAGCCGTTGATGAAATGGAGGCTTGTAACAGCACATCCAATGGTCCTAAAGTCGTTGATGAATGCAAGCTTGTAATGTGCAGCCTCCTTGTAGCTTGACAATAAAGGCCATCCTTCTCATACGAGATACACTGAAACAAGCGATTTTGCAACTTTGTCTCAACATACCCTTCTCTGTGAAAATCTAGGGACCATAACAGTCGACTCATCTCTTTCTTTACTCATTTTTCTTTCTTACATCACAAGACTCTGATGTCTATTTATGGGTTCCAAGTTCGGGTGAATAGAGCTTTAGAACATCAAGAGAGACATCTTTGTTTTCCTGTATTTCGAGGACGAGTTATCCTTGTTATTCACATCTATTATAGTATCGAATGAAAGCAAATATCATCTTGAGATAGCGCTTTTGAGTGCTAAAAAACAAGAAAGAATCAAGCCTTTGATTTCTCGAAATTGTACTACCTTTTGCCCCTATTTCACCCAACTATTTTCAAACAATTCAAGATAATATTTCATGGGCAAAAACAAAGAGACTACCGTGACTTCCTTGAAAATCATTTACCACGATTTTACTAGACTCAAGCGCTTCAACGGGTTGAATTTCAAGAGATGGCAATAAAATACCATCATCTTATTTACTACTCTCAAAGTGGCTTACATAGTCACTAAGCATGCACTGCCACCATCATGTAATGATCCGACTGAGGATATAACCCAAACAAACAAAAGATAGATGAAAGATTACTACATTTGCAAAGGTCACATCCTCCATGCTTTGACGGATCCAATAAATGACACCTGTGCATCAATTGCACAGCAAGAGAGCTATGGAAGCTTCTTGAGATCAAATACCTCACTAAAGAATCTGGTAACATAAGGTTTCTTATTTCCAACTTTCTAGACTCTAAATTCATTGAAAACACGCCAACTCTTTTTCAAATATATGACTTCCAGCTTGTAGTCAATGGACTTAAAGATTGTGGAATTTCATTAGAAGAATTTTTTTAGTAGGCTCTATTACTCACAAGCTACCCTATCTTAGAAAGAGTATCACAAGAAAATAAAACATAAAAAAGTGTACCTTGATTTGGTTCAACTTCAAAGACCTCTTCGAATTGAAGAAGAGAACAGACTTTGAGAAAAGAAAGATGAAACTATGAATTTTCATATTAAGGCAAACCGTGTTGAGCAAAAATCAAGTGTTCCAACAAAACTAAAAGAAAAACTTCTTGTTATGCATGTGGAAAGCCGGGACACTATTCAAGAGAATCGGGACACTATTCAAGAGAATGTCGACACCAAAAAGGGCCTAAAAAGCCTAGAGGCTAGTGAGCATACCCATTGACAAACAATTTGTAGCAATAGTCACTAAAGTAAACATGATCGATAAAGACAATGAATCGTGAGTCTATACCCGCGCTATCATTCATGTGACAAACAATAAATACATGTTTAAGACCTTTGAACCAATGGGTTTGTATAAGTCTACGGTCCTAAACAATCAAAGTAAGACACATCTTCAAATAGTGCTCAAAGATGTTTCAAAATTACAAATCGTTGTAATAGCCTGAAAAATTATTTTAATATCTAAATATAAAATTTGAAGATCAACTTGAGGGTTTCTCGGCATCAAAACATCTTCTAGTGAATTTATGAGGTGCACCTTAATTTGATTGTTTAAGACCTCAACCTTATTTTAAACTTTTTCCATTAAGAAATATAAAGAACTCCATAATGAAAAACACACAAATACATTTAAACTGCATACAATCTACTAAAACGGCTGCAACATTACGGATGTAAAGTGCAGTTTACATAAGGTGTCACCCTAAACAATCAAAGTGAGGCGCACCTCTTAGGTCTCCTAGAAGATGTAGTTTGGGTGCCAGGATGCTATAATCTAAATACGGCATTCTCATCCACGGTTCTCCAAATCAAGGTAAAATAGAAACTGGAGAAACATATAAATGGAAGTTTAGGTTTTCAGAAACAAACGTATTTGCTCAGGTTTTAATACAAATGCTCATCTGCTGGCTCACAGGGCCACGTCGTGATTGACGGTGGCTCTATTCTTTCCTCTTTTGTTTCTCTTCTTTCTTCCCATGTTCTTTCTTTGGTTGTGCTTTTTGCTTTTGCTTTCTTGTATTGTATTTTCACCATCTCTATGAATCTCGCACTTCTCAAAAAAACAAACGTATTTGATGAACATGACTTTTCACAAAAAGCTGTTTTAAGTATATTTGATGAACATGCCTTTTCACTAAAAACTATTTTAAGTAGGTGCAACGATCATAGCCGTAAATCCCCTTCCAAATCATTAACATTGATGTTGGTTGTTGTACGCAATGGTTTTTTTCTCCCTTTTCAACCATGACACAAAACACATAAATAACAAAGTAAAAATATAAATAAATAAATATAATAAACCAAAAAATACGGTAAAATGCAAAATCATTCTTAAATACTAAGGTTCAATCCAACTGGCCAGTGTGATAAGACAGGTAATATAATCAAACGACTCACCTTGTCAAGACCATTATGAATCAAATCCACAGAATCAAAGAAATAGCACCTCATCATGTGTACAGTTTTTTCTGCATTACTATAAATACAAGTCCACTACATTATAAAGTGCGAAACTAAACATCGATTTAAAAAAAAAGCCCACCTGAAAATATAGAAACAGGGGCTAATCTAAGTCTGAATTTCTTAGGCTGTTAGCATTACCGCATTGAGTAGCACAAGAAGAATCAAATGGTATCTCGAATAACTTAGACAAACGTGTCAATAAGAGACCTCCTCATCTCATCAACTATGGCAGTCGGTTGGGCTTCTCTGAGCTTGAACACGCTCTCAATAACAGAAAGCTCAGTTGCAGTGGTATCTGCCCCACAAAAAGCAGTCCAATCGTTCACACAAAGGCCAGCTCCCACCACCTCACTTCCCCTGTTAACAGTGCCAGCAACAAGAGGCACCTGTAGAAGAGTCGAAAGCTCATCCAAGTCTTCAATGGAGGTGTGGGGATGGACCTATTTTTTCCAAGAGAACAGGAAGAAGAGGGTGACATCAGCTTATAAAAGAACTCCGGAGAAATAATTTCATAAAAGTAAAGCTTCATCGTTTCGTTTTGTTTCCATCTACAATTTGCAAAACGAATGTGGATTGTTTTAAAATTTACAGAAGCATAGGAGTGCGTGTGCGTGTGCGTGTGCGTGTGCGTGTGCGTGTGCGTGTGCGTGTGCGTGTGCGTGTGCGTGTGCGTGTGCGTGTGCGTGTGCGTGTGCGTGTGCGTGTGCGTGTGCGTGTGCGTGTGCGTGTGCGTGTGAAACAAAGCAAGGCAGGCAGCAGCAAGAAAATTCCGCTGCCCATTACTCTTAGGAGAAGATTTTCCTGTAACAAGTTCCAATCAAAAGTATGCGTGACCTGTTTCTGACTCAAAAGACAGTAATCAAATATGAAAATGACATTCTAGTCCTTACTAAAAGTCCACAACTACATGATTAAGTGCATAAAAGAAACTGTCAGATAATGACAAAGGGAAAGAGAACCCAAGTTGAGTCAGCTGTATAATTTCAGCCTTGAATTTCACATTTCCCTCAAAGAACATATGTAACGTGCTAAAAGGCCAATCAAGCTTTGTTCCAGGTGGTTTGAATTAAATACCAATTCTTGGCAGGTTCATACCAAATCTAATCAAACCACCATTGAACTTTTGAGTGAGGCACTTGGACCAGATGATGGGATCTTTTTTTCTTGTTCTTTTTGTTTCTCTCTTCTTCTTCTTCTTCTTCTTTTTTTCCTTTTTTTTTTTTTTTTTCTTTCTTTTTTTTTTTTTTTTGTGTGTTTTTGCGAAAACCATGGACCAGATGATGGTTCAGATCATGAATATGATAGTTCAGGAACTTTTTCTTATACGAGAAAGAAACTGGAATAAACCAAACAATCCATAAGGAACTGGCAATTCATGGTTTCAACCCAAATCATCCTACCGACTGATTCATTAGTGGACTGGACCATGAAATCATGCAGTTCTGGTTGAAACCAGTCCAAAGGTCAGTTTCAGCTAAGTTACCAATTACCTAGCTTACACTATCACACATATTCCAGCGCTAACGAAGAACAACTACCAATTTCTATAGATATAATAGCGCAGCATATGTTTCCAACAATACAATGGTGCCATTTCCTCTTTCGATACAATCATATCGAAACACACAAAAGGGGGAAATTGGTGAACAAAAAAAACGGAAACATACTTTTTCGGTGTTTGCTTTTTAGATCCACATATATTGGAAGGGAAGATGAAAAACAGAGGAGAATTCATTCATTCATTTCAAACTTACCAGGCCACCCATGTTGGAGAATGCACAATAACTACCCACTAGGATATTACCCGCAATGGTCTGCCTGAAAACTTCAACACCAAGGACATCCGCAATCAACTCCTCTGTTAACTGGAATTCATTTGGCATTGTAAGTCCATTTGTAAATGGAAAACAAAAACAAAAATAAGTGCAGACAAAAAAAAGAGCACCTAGAAACGGGTGCATAATCACAACACAAAAAAGAAAAGGAAATGGGAAAAAAAAAATATGAAACATCCAATGGATAATATATAAAGGCTCATTTCATTTCCCACACAATTGCAATTGGATTTTGAACAAGTATAATCTGGCAAATTACACAAGGAAAAAGTTTATATAAGGGTGAGACCCAAACAATCAAATTAACACAACTCAAAAATGCACAAGAGGTTGTTTCAATGCCCAAAAATCCTCAAATCACTTATCTCAACCTCAAGATATATGGACACGAGGAAAAAAAAAAAAAGACGACTTTAAGTCTTGAAAATAGTGCATCTTGTAATGCATTTTCTAGACCGTCAATTTTCTAGACTTTCAAGTGTCCATAGTCTGCTAGATCTACACCATTTTTGAAGCTTTATATTTTGTAATTAGAAATAAAAATAAATTTTCAGGCCATTATAAAGATTTTCAGTACTGAAACAACATCTTTCAATATTCAAGACTTGCAAGTGTCCATAGTCTGCTCGATCTATACCATTTTTGAAGCTTTATATTTTGTAATTAGAGATAAAAATAATTATCAGGCATTCACAAAGATTTTCAGCACTGAAACATCTTTCAACACTATTTGAAGGTGTGCCTTCCTATGATTGTTTAAGGCCTCAGCCTTAAATAAACCACACCCATAACTTTATAAAGGTATTTGCTTTCAAGTTACCAAGCAAAATAAAGAAAAATTAGAGGACACCTATTATAATTGCTTCGGAAACCATTTAGAATGGTTTCCTCAAGAAAGTCCAATGCACCTTTCTCTCTCTTTCCACCATTGCCGTCACACAATATTCACAAAATCGACAACCACAACCACTGAAACCTCCCACTACCACCACCACAATTGCTACTAATACCACCACTACATGCCGCCAACACCACCACTATCATTGCACCGTAGCCACCACCACTGCCACCACGACCACAACTAACATCATACCACAACCACGATCTTACCACCGCAATCACCATTAGGGCCATCATCAGGCCATGCCAACCCTGGCCTAGGCTCAGGTCCGGCCTGAGTCACTAAAGGTCCACATGGCCCTAGCCTACAACAACAAGGCCCATTGGACGGAAGAGACTCGGCGTGGGGTGTACTAAGCATTGTTGAAGTAATATCTGGCAATTTTACTTCTTTAAATTTATTTTTGTGATGTTCTTTTATTCCTATAAGCTAAAAAAAGTCTTTAATTTATATACACCGCGCTTGATCACATAGTCCTACTTTCATTGGTATCAGAGCTCGATCTACTTGCTGCCCTATTTTTTTTATTTCATTATTTTTTGGTGAGTTGGGAATGAGAAATAAGAAAGCCAAGGACTTTTGTCGTTAAGTGATACACTTTCGGAAGAATCATTGGCAAAATCAAAACACCGAAAATGCACCATGCAGAATGGGGTATTCTGTGTTGTTTTGAAGCAATGATATGAAGAAGATAATGATGTATTTCATTGATGCATACTTCAGTGATATTATGTGTTTTTAAAAGTAGGATCCACCTGCAAAATTTCAATGGGAGATCTTAGGGGAATGAGAGTTTTGGACTCATCAATGAAGTGTGCCAGTTCTGACCCAACAAAATCCAAGAACTGTCCATTGAGTTGCATGAATTTTTCTACCAATCATATGATTTTATTTTTAGCTGAAATTTGATTGTTACTCATCAAATTGAGTTTATTTTCAAACAAAAATAGTTTCATGAAAAAAACCCTTGTGGTTTGGGAGATATAGTCACTTTGTTGAAAAGTGCGCAAGGGTTGTTTTCTGCATTGAAAATTGTTTCAACGACTTGGAAGTCATGATGTTATTTGTATTCTTAACAAAATGTTTTAAGGCCCACACTAAGTTTCTAGATTGTCATTTTGAGTCTAGGTTCTAATAAAAATTATTTGAGAGATATCTATGGGAAATAAGAAATAAAAACTTTGGATTGAAGAGAGGTCATCCTAAATTTTCTGCAGTTTGGTGTGTTCTCATTGAAATATGAATATTTATATTTATCAAGCCTACTTAACAGAGTGATATGAGGCCTGTATAGATATATTTGTTGTCATTTTGGGTCTACTTTCAAACAAAATAGGTTTGATAAGGAAACTCCATAAGAGTGGAGAGGAAAAGCAATTTTATTAGATAGTATTCATCTTGGAATTCTGCAGTATGATATATTTTGTAACGTAAATCTCACTTATTTATTTTTCTAAAGAAAAATATTATTTGGGATTCATACCATAATGTTATGTTTTAGTTTTGAGTCTAGTTTTCAATAGAAAAAGTTTTAGGATGAAATCCTTTATGAAGTGAGAAACAATTATTTTTATTGAGAGGAACTAAGCATTATTTAGGGACGCAACCTGATTTTCTATTGTGAAAACTGCATAGTGACATGAATGTCATTAAATCGAAGACCCACTAAATGATGTGATTTAGGGATGGAACTGAGCATTATTTTGTATTTTTTAGTCTATTTCAATACTCAAAAAGTTTCAGAGATAAACTCCTTATGAGTTGAGAGATATCGTATTTGTATCATGGGATACTCATCTTCTATTCTGCAGTAATTAAAAGATGTAGCATGTTAAGACACATCTTTGTACTCCTCATAATGGAAGCTCTATTTTAGGACTTATTCAAAAATTTTATAATGTGCCATGAGTATGATTTATAATAGTAAAACTTCAGAGAAAGGTAATACAAGGTTGGCAAGATGTGACACTCCATGTGAAGAGTGTTCAATCTAGGAATTACAGAAAGAAGAAGAAACACAATACCTATAAAAATATCTTGGTTTCTTCACAATGCAGGGATATGTAGAGAGACTTGATGACAACATAGAAACTCTAAAGAAGTAGAAATAAATTTGAAATCTTTGGAATAATGGAATGAAGAAAAGTATTCTTTAATATATGTATAGTAGAATCCAAAGATTGAAGAGGTGGATGCTTCATCGACGCGTAAAAGATGATGACCGAGTGTTTCTTCATCAGTTGTGTGATCTTCCAAGTTCACAAAAGTTCATCAGCAAATAAAAGCAAGGAATTAAAAAGCCTAGGTACCACACTATATGGTTTTGAGGTATGAAACCTGTCCCATATTACATGGTAAGGTCATATAAGGAAAGAGGATTCATTAAATTTTTTTATGTTTTACATCTTTGATTATATTTTAGATGTTTGTTTATGAATATGAATGGAGTGTATGGACATTAGGAAATAAGTGCAAACGAGTTTGAAAGAGCCAATTTTTTTTAATACCCTGTGTTTTAACACCTCTTTGTGCTTGTAAGAACAAGGAGATGAAACACGAGAGATGGGTGTGGCTCATTCAAATATATAACCACGAAGAGAGTGTTCCGATGGAACCTGGTCTTAGAGATCATCCTCAGAATAATATTCAATAATATGATGCGTTGCACGTGATGACGATCTAATGAAGAAGTCCTCCATATTTGCCAAAAAGAAGTACTTTTGTCAGGTTTTAATAACCGTTCTTTAGTCACGCTTTATTTTTTATAAAATTATAAGATGCACTTTATAATTTGTTTTGTGGCTATAAACATGACTTGGTAAGTAATTAAAGGTGAATGCGATAAAAATGATTTATGACGACTAGGCATGTATTTAAATTTAAATTTGATTATTTGTGAAAAACCTAAGTCTATGGACATGGTATTGAGAAAATCCCATAATCTTACGAGGTCCACTAAGTATTTAAAAAAAATCATTCTAAACCACTATGTTATTTTCTAACTATTGTTTGCGTTTAGTGTAGACACCCCATTTTAAAACTGGCAAATTCTGTAGTTTTCCTGAAAAAAAACTGGCAAATTCTATAGTTTTCCTGAACCCTTAGGACCACACTATCCTAGTGAACCCCAAATCATAAACCACCATAGTTCAAACTGTCGATCCTATGATCCAAAACCATACTGCCTACCCTGTGACCCAGAATCCTGCAGGTACCCTGTTTTACCAAAAAAATCACTAAAAATAGTAAAATAACTCTTGTTTACAAAAATTTTCTCCAGAAGCATCACAAGAGCCCAGTTTGACCCGAAAGCGTCACTTTTTGGCAAGACAACTCACTGACCAGTCCTAACAGGAATCTCCCATTTTGAGCAGTCAAGGCTTAGGTGACACTGCCAGTATCTCCCAACCTAGACAGACCTGAAATGGATGATTTTTGGGAGGCAGCATCTTGACGGCAGAAGAAGATGCCCTGCACTAGAAATTTTAGTTTTTGAGCAGTCCTGACCTAGGCAACACTGCCAAGTGTCGCCCAACTCTGACTACCCGAAAATGGCAATTTTCGCATGACAGAGGTCCCCCCAGACCAAGACCTTAGAATGGCAGATTCAGGTTAGGTGATTTGCTGGTGATGGTAAGTTGTCCTTTTCAGTCAATTCCCAGTATATAAAAATGAAAACTCATGGGTTCTTGGGGGGGCTTCCTCTTGAATTAGGTACAAAAAGAGTTAGGACATAGAAGAGTAAACCTTAACCATTGACCAGAGAAACCCTAAATCCTAGTTCTTCAGCTATCCTTAGGGCAAAAAACCCCTTTCAACCAAACTAAAGTATGGTCAACACACCCATTCAACCAGGCTAAGGCCTGGTCAACATATGGAGAAAGAGAGGCAAAGAGGACACCGATTCTGATACGGGCGAGCCCTCAAAGGCTCAGTAGTCCTGGGCCATCTAGCCCGGTTTGGTACACTTCTTTACTCTTCCTTGCTTCCTTTTCTATTTTATTTCAATTTAATTAAGTTAGATTAGTTTTTATCGCTTTTATTTCGTGTTTCGTATTCGGATCAACGCTGACGCTGCCACTGATCTGAGAGCGGATCCACTCATTTCTGAGTACTGTAGATCTAACCT